TCCCTCCCCCCTCCCCGCGCAGCCTGGCGCGCGCCCACCCGTCTCTGTTCACGCCAAGGGTTCTCTTCAGAATCCTCCCGCCTCGCTCTGCCAAGTACCGGGCGGTCAAGGCCCGGCCCGGCCTCCCCACTCCAGCCCGCGCTGGGCTGGGCAGCGGCGTCCACTCACATTCTTGAAGCCCCGGTACAGGACCTGCAACTCCTTGCGGGTAAACTTGGTTTGCTCCTGCAGCTGCTCCAGACCCTCGGGCCGGTGACACACGGTGGACAGTTCAAACTCATCCTCCACGCTGTCTGCGGAGCGGTGGGGGACAGCCCCGCCTCAGGCCTGGCCCTGCACCACGCTTCACAATCACCGACCTCTTTACCCTCCTCCTTGTCCCCGCTTCCACGACGTGGGGCAAGGAGGACCGTGGTGGCCGGCTTCGAGGTCTAGCAGCCGGCTGAGGCCAGGCCTGGACCCCAGCGCTCACCCCGAGCCTCGGTTCCCGCGCGGACGGGAAGGGACCCCGCAGCGTCTTCGCCCCAGAAGGACAAGGGGCAGAAGGCGTCCGTCCGGGAGCCGCAGCCGAGAGCGCTCGGGCGGCCGCCCACCCTCCCCGGCCCCGCCCACCCCTGCCCCGGCCCCGGCCTCGCCCACCCTCGCACCCCTCCCCGGCCCCGCCCACCCCTCCCCCGCCCCAGCCTCGCCCACCCTCCTGCCCAGCCCCTCCCCCATCCCACGCGGCCAGCCCCAGGCAGTGCCCCGCCCCCGCTCCCGCCCACCAGGATAGTCACCTGGGTCCAGCGGGCGGGGTCTGTGGGGGCGGAGGGAGGCTGGGGCGGCTAATGCTGAAGGGAGCGAACCGTCACTAGGGCGCGAGCGGAGCAGCGGACGCGCAGCTGCACGCTGCAGATGCCTCGCCCGCGCCCCAGTCTCACACCTGCGCACACGCACACGCTCGCGCCTCTTCTTCCAAGCTGCCTCAGTGTGCAAAACGCTAGCTACAAGACAGGCATTTTGAGCTTGCAAACGTCACTATGATCCTATCGGATGCAAGGCTCCACTGAGGAGAGACCCAGGGACAAAGTCAGGTCACTCAACTTGAGGCCGCACGGTTGGGGACCAGGCCGGGGCAGAAAAGCCCAGTGTCTTGGCATCAAGAGGAAGGCGGGCAACATCCGCCCTCTGCACTGAAATCGTCCTGCTACCTCACAGCCCAAAACAAAGGTGAGGGCAGGCAGCTCCCGCGAATGCAGCTGCAACCCCGCTAAACTCCGCAGCCCTCCCACTTGGGCGCAGGCTCTGCTTGCTCGAGGCCGCGCCCGCACATGGTGCCGCCCCCTACTGGCCGAGCTCACGCGCTCGGGAGCGGCGGCCTGCCTCCCGCAGCCCCCCCCAGGAGACATTCGGGAGAGGGCCTGGGCTCTGCCCATCTCCCTGCCCTGGCTGGGACGACCGGGTCCTTCTGGGTTTTTGGAGTTCGCAGGCCGAAGAAGCCGCCAGGCACTTGGGCGCACACACGTGGGCACAGCAGCTGTGCCGCTCACATGCACTGCCCGCCCGCACGCCCGCCCGCACGCCCGCACGCCCGCACGCCCGCCCGCCCGCAGGAAGCACAGGAGAGGCACTTGCTTTCGCTGACTGAGGGCAGCGCTTGGGGCCCGCAGCACGGCAGCAGCTTGAGGAAGCGCTGCTTCAGCGCTTTTTTAGTGGGCCCCGGAGGGTGGCCTAGGAAGAGAGAAGAACCCAGGAGGGCGCATTAACTCCTGACCCCTGTCCCTCGTTCCCTACCCCCCACCAGGCCGGGAGGCGGGGCCGGGCACTGGGACAGGTCTGAGGGCTGGGAAGGCTGGCGCAGGGCTCGGAACCCCAGGGCCTCGGGCCTGCCTGGATGGAAACGCTCCGCACACAGTGACACACACGTAACACCCCAGACAGGACCGTGCATGCGTAGTGGGACCCCCCACCGTGTGTGCACACAGAATGAGAAATCATAAACAGGCACCAGGGACAGATTTTGATACCCTGTATCTCACACCCAATGGCTTGTTACACATACTCGCAACACACACACACACATTTACCTCCTACTCCCTGCCACATACAAATGTGACCTAACTAGATCATGACACACATGTAACAGGCCATATCACTCACAGCACGGTCAAACCACACAAGAACTCACAACAGCTCTGGGATATCCTCAGGCTGTTAAGAACACCATAATAGGGGAGAGAGCCGGCTCAGTAGAATAAGAACTTTGCCTGGAAAGCGCAAGGACCTGAGTTCAATCCCCGTAATAGAGGGGCCTGGTGGCACACACCCGTAATCCCAGACTCAGGAGGTTGAGGCAGGAGAATCACTTCGAGTTCAAGGCCAGCCTAAACTACACAGTGAGACAATGTCTCAAAAAATGAACAGGAAAAAAAAAAAAAAAAAAAAAAAGCCAGGGAGATAGCTCAGTAGAATAAGTGCTTGCCTGTCAAGCACAAGGTCCTGAGTTTGATCCCTGGTACCAAAAACAAAAATAAAAACCTTTCATAAATTTAAAAAAAAAAAAGGAACAAAGCCCCCACCATGATCCCTATCAAGGTTACCAAGATAAAGCTGTGCTGAGAGCATGTCCCTAAGGCACCTGAAGCTGAGCCTGTCCTCACTCACATAGGCATTATTTTTTCCTGCGAGCCCTCTTCCCAAGGAGCAGGCTTATCAGCTAACTCATCAAACCACATGAGTGGCCTCTCCCAGTGTGGCCTTCAAAGTGGTAGTGGGCTTTGAGGCAATTACAGATCTTTGAGATGAATATTTTGGTGTGGTGTGGGACTGCCCAAGACCCATTCATCATGCCCTTCTCCTCTCCCCTTCCGTGCGTGCGTGCGTGCGTGCGCGCGTGCGCCCTACAGCTCTAATTATGCCCTGGGGACTCTCAGCATAGGTGTCTGTGTGTGCATGCATCTCCCCGTGCCTGTGCCAGACAGAGTCAACGAGGCCTGATACACTGACCAAGGCTGACCTCGGTCTATTCCTGGAGGAACGCAGCTTCCTCTGGTTAGAAGTTACGCCCATTCCAGCCCCCAATCCAGCCTGCCCTCCAAGGCCAGGAACAAGCCCTCTACCCTCAGAACCAGGCCTTGTTCTCGGAAGGTCACTCCCTCCTTCCTACCTTAGCTTCCCCCCAACAGAGCTATGGAGAGTTGGGGGGGATCAATGGTGGCCTAGGCCCCGGCCCAGAGCTCCATTAGCCAGGACACCGGCTGGATCATGCCTGGGGCTTCTGATGGTGGAGTCACCCTGGAGACTGGTGGGCGACTCGTCCACTTTCCTATCCCCAAGGTCCCGCTCTTCTGTCTGTTCTGGACTTCATAAGCGTGGGAACAGAAAGGGCCTGCCTTCAGCCCACCAGGCGCTTCCCATGTGGGTGCTCTTCCCACCAAAGGGTCTGAGGAGATGGTTGCTGAATCCTGTCCCAGGCCGATGAGAACAAGCTCAGCCCAGCCTCCCCAGTTCACCTGGCTGTAACTCTTGGGCCCCTCTAACTACAGCCACAGATGGAGGATGCTTTTCCTGAGCCTCGGAGCTGTTTATGGATCTTCTGTCTTCCATCCTTATGTTCCTGCCAGACATCTATCCCAGTCTGCCCCCAACCCACATGGTTCTTGTCTGCCTCGCCCACCCTAGTGCAATGGGGAACAGCCACACGTGGAACTGCACTGCTCTTGTGAAGAGGAGGGGAGCCAAAGAGGAGGGGAGCCCAAAGCTCTCACTGTAGAGGGCCGGCAAGCTAGCTCCGTGGACTAAGTGCCCGCTTAGGCAAGCGCAGTGACCTGGGTTCGATCCCAGCACCATATGCTATGCCAGCCCCGCCTCTAGGCACACTGAGACACACACTGAGACAGGGTGTGGTGGTGCATGCCTGTAACCCCAGCACTGGGGAGGCTGAAAACAGGAGGATGGCTCCAAGTCCAAGCTGCATAGCTCCCTCTAGAGGCAGAAGCCTCCCCTCTTCTCCCAACACCACTCCCCTGTTGACTTGGGGGGGGGGGGTAGAGAATTAACTTCCCAGGATGAAGCTATGGATCATTCTGCCCCTAGGCACACAGAGGTGCTTGGAGTGGCAAAGGGGCTCAGGAGGTAGAGGCCCTGACGCGCTCTCCCGCTTGCCCCCGCCAGAGCCAGGTTCCAAGTGTCACGTCAAGTGCTGCCACACTGTCCCTCCAGAGCCTGCTCCCTCCAAGCTCCTGGCCACAGAGCTGCTATCTCCTTAGAAAACTACGGGAACCACCACATGCTCAAGCAGACCCCAAAGCTCAGCTGTACCCCTGCTCTTTAACATCATACACTTTGCCCTTTCTCACACACAAGTACAGGTGCAGCCTATACCTCATGGAGTCTACATATACCCTGGAGCCCACAACTCCTTAGAGGTGTGGAGTCACCCACATCAGAGTTCTTATAGTACCCTGGCTCCAAAAGGGACTGTCAGAAATCTTATATTAGTGGGGACAGCACTGGAGAAGCTGAGGCAGGAGGATCATTGTGAAATGGAGGCCATCTAGGCTATAAAGTGAATTTAAGGCCATGCTGAACTGCATAGCAAGACCCTGTCTCAAAATACGAAAAAGAGCTGGGCCTGGTGGCCCAACACTTGAGGCTGAGGCAAGATGATCGCTGTGAGTTCAGTACCATCCTGGGCTACACAGTGAGCTCAATGCCAGCCTGAATTACATAACTAAGTCCTGTCTCAAAAAGACAAAAAAAAAAAAAAAAAAAAAAAAAAAAAAAAAAAAAAAAAAAAAGAATTAGCGCTTGCCTGGCAAGCGCAAGGGCCTGAGTTCAATCCCTGGTTCTGCAATAAACAAACAAACAAACAAACAAATAAATAAATGAAATACAAGGGCTGGCCGGATAGCTCAGGGGACTAAAGAGCCTGCTTGGAGTGCAGTGGCCTGAGTTTGATCCTCAGTGTGCTGAGCCAGCCCTGCCCCCGGGGCACGCTGAGATACTGATTGAGACTGGGGGTGGTGGTGCAAGTGCTTGGGAGGCTGGAAACAGGAGGACCTCTACAAGTCTGATCTATGTAGTGAGACCCTGTAGGCCCTGCACTAAATAGATAAATAAAGTTAAAAAATAAAAAGAAAACCAAAACAAATTCATTAAAATATAGTACAGAAAACATAAATGTAAAGTTTTATATTACAAAATCTGATATATCAGGATCCCTGGAGCCTCCCTCTACTCCAGACACCCTTGCCACCCTCAGATACCCCATTGCTCTCAGACTCCCCTCAACTCAGCCCTGCGCCCTCCCTGACCTGCCTCCTTTCCCAGACTGACTCCAGGAGCCCCCTCTTCTCGCCTCAATGTGCTGCCCGGAAGGACCCCAGCTAACTTCCCCTTTTTGCCCTACCTCCTACAGCTCAGCTTGCCCACACACACCCTGGGTTACCTTCCAAGTAGACAGGCTCAAAGAGGCCAAACTGCTCCAGAACCTTGACAAACAGCGTGAGGACCACGAGCACGGCAACCGTCTCCAGGCCCTCCAGGTTCATGGCGCACCTGGGGCAAGGGCCTGCTCTGCAGAGGCGCCAACACCCAGGCTGCCAGCCTCACCTCACCTCGCCCGCCGCAGCCTCTCAGCCTCCGCCCTGGTCTCCTCCCTCCTGGCCCGCCTCTGCCCGCACACCTCCGGCCTCAGCCTTTGGCCTGGCGCCTCCTGGGGAACCTCTGCCTCCAAGGGTGTGGGCCAGAGGAGGGCAGCAGTGACGGCCTCCAGATACCTGGCCACTGCGTGCCCCAGGAGGGTGAGGAGGAGCTGGAGCGCTGCCAGGGGCGACTGCGTGCGTGTGCGCGCGCATCCATCCGTGCTAAGCAGCACGGGGAGGCCGAGGCACCTGGGCACGTTCCTGTTACTCCCGGGTTCCTCAGGGTGGGGATGCAGAGCTACCTCCTGCGGTGTCGCATGTGTTTAGGTGTGACTGTGCACTGGCCACAAAGCTTCGCACTTCGGGTATGACTGCTGCAAGGGGTTGTGTGTGAGACCTTCTGAGCACGTGTGAGGGCAGGTGTGTGCTCAGGAGCGCTGTGGAGCTGGGCTGCAGCTCCTGGCACGGATGTGCTGTACAGCAACTGGGAGCATGGCTGTCGGCTTGTAAAACTGTATCAGCAGGGACTTGTGAGAGTACCAGGAGTGACCGAGCGAGCAGTCAGAAGGACACAAGCACCATCGATCAGAGTTGCCATGGAGACTGTTCAGGCAGGAAGCACTTTCTTCCCACAGGCCACAGACAGTGAAGCTGGAGCCCAGGGCAGAGAGGCTCAGGCCCCACAGCCTGGCAAGAAAAACGACACCCCTTCCAGACCCTCCGAGGAGGGGACTTGCGACGGTGAGCTTGAGGCCAAGAACCTGTTCTGGGAGACAACACAACAGAGTCTGCTCCTTGGTGCACGCACCCCCCGCCCATGAGCCCCCTCCACTTCTTCCTGGGAGTGCAGGGGTACGAGGGGCCTGCAGAGCCGAGGGCAGCAGGGCAAGTACCCGGTGACCAGCACTGCTGGTCAAGGTGCCTGAGCAGTGCCTTGCCCTGGAGGCCTAGCCCCAGGCCTGCGGGTGGGGCTGTCGCCGGCCTTGCAGCAGGGCCGCTACTCCCTCCTCCTCCTGCCGCACGGGGAAGCGAGCCACACAGGCTAGGCAAGTCTCCAAGGCTGGAGCCTCTGTTTAAGCCTAGTCT